ATTCCTCTTGATCAACTGTCGATTGGCTTTACTGGAAGATTCATGCTGACGCTGTTTCCGAGGTAATCCCCTTCAATTTCCGTGAAAAGGTGCTAAGCTTCCATCCGTCATATAACGAACATCATCAGAGCAAGGTATTATCGTCACAACAAAATTCAAGCTAAGGACTCAAGAAAACTCTCGTTGGCTTGAATTTGTTTGCGACGATAATACCTTGCTCTGATGATGTTCGTCATGACGGACTGAAGCTTAGCATCTTTTCATGGGAATCGAAGGGGATTACCTTGGAAACAGCGTCAGTGTGAATTTTCCAGTAAAGCCAATCGACCGCTGATCAAGAGGAATCCGCCGTCGTCTTCTGATGGAATAGACCTTCGAATCTCTTCACCCAACACCACTCGAGATGGAAGTTCAACAAATACAAAAGGCCATACCATCTCGGTCTTTATACGTTCGATTAAGGAACTATTAAATGATGGAATTTGCCGTGTCCGTATTTTTTCGGTTCTCATTGAGCTTAGCTTTAACCGATTTATGAAATGCTCACATGATCTCTCCCGGTGATATGCAATAAGCCCTACCTAGTGGTGATGCAAATTTTATGAATCCTATGTGGCAAATGAACGAGTTCTACTGGTTTGGTTGGTTATGGGGTAGGCCGCTAAGTTTCACAATTATTTGCTAAGCATAGCCAATAGGAATATCATAACTATTTTATACCATTGAAATTTAAATAGCTTATGAGAATTTAAGTGAAGACTTGTACGCAGAAACCAAGAGTTCTAACACCAAATAAATCCTCATTCGGTTTACGGCGAGGATAATTTCCCAATCGATTTCAAACATTATTTCATACGAAATCAAAGGTTCAATAACGTGTATTTAATAAGGTTCTTAGGGTTTAATAGGAAACCCAGTCGCTCTTCATATGAAGACCAAGCTAATTGGTGCTTAACTGAGGCGCATGATACGTTTTGGGCATAATAAAACATAAGGCAGAATAAATAATACACTCCCACGCCCTAAGAATAGTATGGTGTGCTTAACGTCAAACAAATATGAGGAAAATTAAGGTATTCATTAAAACATTTTCTGGCTGGACACAGATACCAGGATATATGAACAGAAGAAAAGAAATGTGGAGAAGAGACAGGGCTAATGGTAAAGGGAAATTTATGCATCTGTTAAAAGATAACGGAGACAACGAAACTTTATACAATTTTTTGAAATGCATGCTATCCCAGTTTATAACAATTGGACATAGATTTAATAGTGAATAGAATGAAAGGTTTAAGTTGATGCGGGTGAATTTTCTACAGTGGTTTCCCACGTCTAGCAACAGGTGCACCGGGACTTAAATTCCGATTGCTCGACCCAGACGCTCTGCCACTGTGGAAAGAGCTACGATGAGGATGTGAACCAGAAGACCGAGTCGATACCGCAGGAGTATTTGAAGATGAGACCGTGGAAGCAGCACCGCTGCTCACCCCCGAGCTAACTGACCCGCCAGCAGTAGCGGAAGATACCGAAGAGCCAACACCAGTCCATAGCTTGCGTCGTTGAGCCCCCACTACATGGTGCTGGTGATAGTGCAAATGGTGATGGTGAGGCAAAGAGCTTGCATTTGCTGAAACTGATGTGGACGAAGAGAAGGAACCTGACTCGCCAGGAAAGGGAGTCTCGTCAGGACGATCCCAGACGATAGGTTGAATTTTCGGTTTGGAAACTGAAATGGATAATTTGACTTTAAAATTAATCAAAATAATTTAAAATATAAATCAGATGAACTGTTTGTTTGTGCAATGCTAGTTAAAAGTGAATCTCTAATAAATATATAGAACGAGAAATTAAATAATATAAATCAAGTGGGTTGACCTCGTTGTCGCAACTTGGTCTTATTTTCAGGGAGACCATGTAGAAGGCACCTAGTCCAAAGTCGTCTGCCATAGTAGTTGTCATGATTCCCAGCATCCGACAGTGGACTTGATGCATTCTCAAACGTTTCGCCGGCATCGTAGTCAGCATCATCAGTGAGTTTTGCCATTAGCCGCACCTAGCTACGAACTCGTCAAAGAGACAAGTGAAGCCAATTCCTCGACAAG